AGGCTTGGCACGCAGACGTGGATTTGTTCCGTATTGTTATTATTTGATAACTATCATCAAATATTAAGAAACAAATGGGTATTTTCCTTAGTTGCTATTATGGTTACAATGGTGACAGTGATACCTGCATGTTATTACATTATCCAAATTCTACATAATAATAAAAAAAAAAACTGTGGAAAGGTTTAGTCCGCTGTTTATAATTTTTTTATTGTCTCTCTCAAATCCATTTTTTGATTTACCACTCGCATAAAATACTAAAAAGTAGGTTTTTTTTAGATGACTATAAAAAAAATGCACATGGGTTGGACCAAAAGTTTTTCTTGTTTCTTAATTATTATCTATAGGATAGAGTTGAAATAGCGACAAAATATAATTTTGGGAAATTGGAGTTTTTATTCAAAAATACCACACAAAAAGTTCATGATTGTAAATACTGAAAAGCCATTATCTCATACAATATGTATAATATGCTGAAATAAGGTTTTTATAAGGGCAAAATTGTATTTAGAGGAGTGCTTCGTGCTTGTTCATCCATCCATGTAATTTCTGAAATAAAAGACCTTTTTGTGAATAGGAATCACAAAAACAACAATATGATAATGGAAATACGGATGTCATGGTGAAAAAAGTGAAAAAAATCACCCTATTTTTTTCATTTTAAAACTTCATAGTGCTAATGATATAACACTAATAAAGTAATTGCTGGTATCACAAACACAAGAATAATAAAAAAACTATATGGTTGCCATGGTAACAGATTATCAGATAAAATGCACCCTAATTACAAAGCATATTGTCATCTTTTGTGCCAAGGATAAGAATTATCATATTTATAACTAACTTTAAATATTGATTTGGTTTTATTTGGTATTCTAACAAAAACTGATAAATGACATAAGAAACTTAATAATTCTGTTAACAAAATTCAAAATTTATAGAAGCAAATTATCATTGGAACAAACCAATATGATAGCACTAAAAAATTATTTAAAAGAAAACTTATTAATAGAAAAAAATATATTTAATAAAAATAAAATACTCAGCAGGGAAGAGAACTGCTGGAACCCCTGGACTCCTTTATTGTCATAAAAACAAAGATAAACAACAGACACCATATGTATTGTATGTATTCTCTATCCAAGCAGCCTTTATCTTGAAATCATATTCTGCAATGTACCAAAATATTTCAGCTGTGTCTATTTAATATGTTGTATACCTTCTGTTTATATATTATAATTATTATTATATAAAATGTGTATAACTTACTAGTATGTTCATGTGCAAATAAAAAGAAATTCATTATAAATATATATATATATATAATACTGCCATCATCAGCTGTTATACTACAAAAAAAATAAAGTTATCTGGCATAGCTGTATATGTCAATTACCTCAAGATACCTGTAAAACCACTACATTGTTGTACTTATTTGTCACCAGCTATTAGTAATATAATGTTCAGCGGACCGACATTTCCTGGGTAAAAATTATTTTTTAAACTAAATATGTTAGTTTACTTTCATTGATATTTTTTTTTTTTTTTGTTATTTGCAAACTTTCAAAAATCCAACATATCTCACTGCCACTGCCATTTATCCCCCCTTTCTGAAATTGGAATGAGGGATGTATTCATGAGCGATAAAAATATATTAACATTATCTTATTGTATACCATATTCTAAGTCTTTCCCTCTCTTTAAAATCTGACGCTATACGTAAAAAAAGTAAAATAAGAAAAATACCGAACTCCGAGAAAAATTTATATTGGAAAGTCCTTTATCAAATGGCAAAATCAAAAGCTCAAACACATCAAACGAATAGAAAACAACTGTCATATTCCTGACTGTGTACAGGCATTTCCTTATATAGAAAATGGTGGATTAAACCTGGTTTTATAGTAAGCTAATCCTCGCATTTGTATGACAGTCGCATAAAATTCCATTATATTGACACCAATGTGTGAACAAAACAAACAGACATAATAGGTAAAAATGTCAAAAATAGGGGTACAGCAGTCAACATTGTGTTATAATCTTAATTACTATAAAAATAAACAAATATGTCAACAAAGAAAAACAATATGGCATATAGACAAAGCACATAAGCAAAAATGAAAGACAAGAATACAAAAAATGACCACAGCACAACACATTTGTGGGATGCATAATTACCGAGCCACGCCAAACGATAATTACCAAAAATGGACTAAACAGTTAATAATTTACAAAAAACAAATAAAAGAACACTATAAAACGTAAATAAGATGACAAAAAACGTCAGTACCTAAAATCTATACTTCAAGACCATCGTTGTCTTTATTCATACTCCTAAAGCCATTAGGTCGTTGATACAAAGTAGAATCCACATGTTGAAAGTCCGTATTCAGAGACAAAGAGACTGTGAAATGTCTGAAATCTCTTCAACACAGATATGTTGTTGTTCAAAGCTTCAAACAATGTTGTTTATGTCTGTAACTCTTATCAATACGAGTGGCTTATTGAAGAATTAGGAATAAATGGACACGCGGGTAATCCTACGTACAGAAACGTAACCTTTGATAAGGATGAGATCTTGGCAAACAGCAAGTCCTTCATGGCCTCCTTTAATGTTTTAATGAGCAACAAATCTAAGGACTTACCTCTTTTGTATTGGATATCTAAACTTTACAGAGCTTCGTCCAAACAACGGTACATTGACGTCTCATATGCATGTTCGTCCAAGGAATTGTTTGTTAAATTAACCAAACGTTTGTCCGCAGTTAAAGATGGTTTACAGAATGACGTGACACTGTTAACTCTCGTAGTGGCATTAACCATTTGTGGATTCTAAAGAACTCAAGAGAACTTCTGGAAAATTTATCGGTCATTCTTAATTTTATCAAAACCTTCGATTGTTCCAGATTTTACACCACAATACCACTTAAAAAATTAAAAACCCGTCTTTTAATAATGCGCAATACTTTCCTCCATAAAAATGGTACCATACGTTACAAATTTATTGTTTTGGGGATATAATTCTGCATATTTTGTTAAAAATTAGCCCGACAATAAAAGATTCTACACTGAAGAACAAGTGATCCGTGTATGTCATTGACAACATACTTGTTAAACTTGGAGTTCGAATTTTCAAGTATTTTCAGGTTGTCGTCATTCCTATGTGAACCAACTGTGCACCTCTACTAGCCAACAATTTCTTATTTTCGTATGAGTCAGAGTTTCTTTAGACATCCAAAAAAACAAGAAGATCAAAAAGGCTATATCGTTTAAGTTTACATACATTTATATTGAAGATTTTCTTTTCATTAACAATTTTAACTTTATGATTGTGTCCCATTAATATATTCTACTGCACAAAAGTTAAAAGAAACAACAGATACAGCTTTCTCTGCCTCATTTCTATGGATTTGCCTCGAATTTGACATCAGCGGCCATCGCAGTACCAGAATCTATGACAGACAAGACGGTTTCAATTTTCAAATTAGGAATTTTTCTCACCTTTGCAGCAATATGACAACTTTACCAGCGCAAGGAGTATACATTATTCAACTCATACGATATCAAAGAGTTGGCAGCTGCTACTCAGCCTTTGTTAAACGTCATCGGTGTCTGAGCAAAAAAAAATGAGCCCGGGTTTTGTCAAAGAACGTCTCGTCCTTTTTCTCAAGAAGTTCATTGGAAAGTACCTATACCTTATAGATAAATATTCAGTGTCTACTTCATCAATAATACATGATGGGTTATAGATTCTAGGTGCAGAAATTGTGTATCTTTTTTCATTTCTTTTTACAGTTTTTCCCTTTATTTGTCTTCGTGCTATTATGTTTCGTTTGGTATTCATGCATCCCGCTAAACAAGGTTTAGCTCACCATTAATTTTCCTTCGAAAAATACCTGTTCTAAGTCAGGAATATGACAGTTGTTTTTCACTCGTTCCGTTGGTTGATAACGTTTGATTTGTCAGTTGTTTGTTGTGTACTAACAGATGGTAATGGGTTACAATTGATTGATTATAATGTATCAGTTGATACTCTTGAAGACCTTTAACTAACTTTACAGTTTTCTATGGTGGCCGGGTGCGGCCATTTCGCCTTTTCGCGTTTTGGCGTTTTCTCCTTTCACTTTCACGCGAAATCGAGAAATCGAGAAATCGAGAAATCGGGAAATCGAGAAATCGAGAAATCGAAATCGAGAAATCGAGAAATCTGGAAATCGAGAAATCGAGAAATCATGAAAGCATTAACTCGAAAACGCGAAGGCGAAAACGCGTTTTTGCTTTCTTGATTTCTCGATTTCGCGTTTTCGCTTTCTCGCTTTCTCGATTTCCCGATCTCCCGATTTCCCGATTTCTCAATTTCTCGATTTCCCGATTTCGCGATTTCGCGATTTTGCGTTTGCAAAGTGAAAGGAGAAAACGCGAAAACGCGAAAAGGTGAAATGGCCGCATCCGGCCACCATAGTTTTCAATGTATGCATGTTTTCGTAAGATTAAACATATGTGCGTGTGTTCTTAGTAATACGCATATGGCGGGTATTCATCTTGATTCTCGTAGAGGACGAATGATTAAATTATCGTCTGGTATGATTCATTTAACGTTCATGACTTTATGGTCAAAATAGCTATGTTAACTGATTATGCGTGACTCATTTTGTATTTACCATTTAGTATGGATCAGTATGTGTAACTTTATTTTAAGCATTAGTCCTATACGATCCAGTAGGACTCATTAGGGAGTGTGTTCAATTTATAAGGATAGATATGATGTGTAGGATTCATACGGAGTAAGGCCAACCTACAGGAATAGATAACGTCAGTGACATAATAGGGTCACGCCCCTCCGAAAAGGCGCCAAGGGCTTTAGACTTGCATCAAACACCTCTCCCCCTTCTACTAATCTCGCGAAATGTTTGATTTAAATGTGACTTAAAATCCAGAAAAGAGCTTCGGACGCATGAACTTTATAAAATGTTGTTTTCCTATTTTTAAACAATGACCTTAAAACATGTCTAATACTTTTATTGTTTATTACACCACTTCATTTTAAAACTGTCCTTCAAAAAGCAGTACTGCTGAAAAAAGGTTATATTTTTCACTTGCATAGACATTAGCTTGGTGGATATTCTGAACCCAAATGCGATCATGTTTGGCAAGTTTGACGTTTATTGTGTGTGAAGCCAATTCGTAGCTATCCCCACCTCCGGTCCACAGACGTACCAGCTCTTTACCATTCTGAACTAACTGCAAATGAATCCCATTGTGTGGGTCTCCCATCAAACTGGCTGATAAACTATAAATTCCGCTAACTGTGACTTCAAATATTCCGGATGTAGAATCGTATGCATTGCCTGTGTTTGTTATTGTAGTATCATAACGAATGATCTGCTGTGCTCCAACGGTAATACTATGGTTAAGCAGTGCTGTAAACGCAACAACCTGACTAGGATGTCCTGAAATATAAATTGCAATTGGATTATACTTTTTCGCATAAAAAGACATGCTATCTTTATACTCAAGACAACTAAAGTTTAAAGTTTTAAAATGTGACCTTGCTGATAAAACCCGTTGAGATCATAAAATGTTTCATTTCACGAGATAGAAAATAAGTTTATTTTATTTGATGGATTTTACAGAGTGCTTTCTTAAATAGCGTCCAAAGAAATGTACTGCTATTGAACTATTGCAGTGACCTTAACAATGACACCTTTAGTTCGAAATTCTTCAACCGGACAGCGAAAGTGCGATGGGTAAATCGTGATGAAAGAAAAGCTTGACAAACGTGAAAGGAAGATATTATTGATCGCAATTTTTAAAGAAAAAATATAAAACACCAATTAATTTAACAACTCTTATGACAAAGTTTAATACAAAATGGGAACGCATGGAAAATATATAAAAATATACATCGCTCTATCGTCTCCCTTATTTTCCATGTGTTCCATGAATCTGTGTTGATGGTTTGTCAAAAGGTAACAGTCGATAAACTTCGGCACCAAAACCCGAAGTTAATTAGCATCCATAGTTTTCAACAATCCTAGAATCAATTATTTGTCTATTTCACGTGAGAAAAACGTGCACATAGGACTTAGTTTGGTACATATGCATGCATTGGGTCTATTGCACGCTGTATCATGATATTGATAACAACTAATGAGGTGCAAAAAGTATGTCATTCTTAGATACAAAATATAGTGTCTTACCTGACAGACTGAGAGTTTTCATTTCATTGGTTAAATTCATTATCTGTGAAAATTAAAGATAAAAGAAAAAAATCTAAATCACGAAAAATAATCTTTATTTAAACTTTTTAACACATTGCATTTTGTAACTGCCTTAAAGATAAAGAATATTTAATATCATTAACGGTATCAATTTACTAAACTGCTATTTCAGAAAACTAAGGAATTGTCACAACTCTAGGTAGAACAAAAACAACTAGTTTTGAAGTTAGTTTATTTCGTGGCACTGATTAAAACGGTCATGCATGTATGGTTAATTTTGAATTTCGTTTCGCTGTAAGCTTGATAGTGCACATTTTGTAAGGGAATTGTACATGCGCATTTTTTATTTAACTCACTGTCATGGCTTTGTCTTAAATATGGTTAACACAGTGATTTTGTGAAAATAAAAAACAAGTCGTATCAACCCTCTTCAGCCAAAATCAATTTGACAATATCATGTCAAGATGTGTATGTCGTTTTTGAGGATATAATATACTAATATGTTATAAAGTGTTTGATAAAACTATGATATTCTACCTAAAGTTAGAGCTGCTTTGAAAACTTCGTCTTAAGGTTAGTAATTTAGAACAGATGTATCGATTTTTTTTTCTAAAAGTTGAATACATAACTTAACATACAATGGTGTACAGTATATAATACTTCTGCTCCAAAATCATGCCGAAAGTTATATGTTGGCATTGCACAAGGTCATGTTTTTCTCGGGCTGCTTATCACGCCCTGACACTGTTAGTGATGTCTTTGAGGACATGATTTCTATTTAAGTTATTAAAATTGAACTTTAAACTAAAAAAGTATACCAAAATAGACTAAACTCCAAGATAAATTAAAATAGGGGGAAAGTCCTTAAAAACTGACAATATCGAACGTTGGACTTTTTCAACCAACGGAAACAACTGTCATATTCCTTACTTGTATAGGCTTTTTCTGTAGAACTTGGTGGGCTAATCCTGGGTTAACTCGCAGCAATTTAATGCACTTTTAAAGCTTTGAAGCGGTGCTTTGTGTGTCGTTTGTCTTTTATTAATTTATGTATTTGATTTGTTTCGCTAACCATCGATCTGATGAGCCAAATCCAACTAATTTTCGGTTTTGTACATTTGATTTTAAACGTATTTTTCCTCTATTAGATTTAACTAATATTAATGCCTTTTTTTCTTGCCATACTGAGCTATAGATCACAGTATTGCCATTATATTGCAATCCTTATTACTGGCTATTTTTAATACAGAAAACAAAAGAATTTTTCCTACCTGGGCATCTTTTTCATTTAAACGGTTCGTAAGCTGTGCTATTTTCTGATCCTTTGTGGAGGACTGTGCCATCAGAATTTTGAATTTTGACATCAATTTGATGTAAACGAGATTCCACGTAATCGCCATCGTTTACCAGCAATCGTTTTTTTTTCAAATTTGAACATGACACAACAAAACAGAGTTGACAAACCAATAATACTTTCAATAAACAAGCAGATAAATAAACATGTTCCATGTTTATTCTCCGATTTCAATTTAAGTCAACAGTCGACCAATGACGCAAAATATTGATAAGAACGTGCCCTTCCTTCAGTCTTAGATATTCTTATCGAAATATTTCAGAATTAATCATTTTGATTAAGAACTAATATAGTATATATAAAAATGTTTATATCACACCAAGAAACTGTTTCTTCCTTTTTAAAAGGCTATTGCAAATTAGTATAAACTGGTAACATAAAAGGTGTGCAATTTATGGTGTCTGATGGAAATAGTTTATATGTTTTAAAGCCTACTACACTGGTTCTTGAGACCGCTGGTTGTATCTGAGTCTATTTATTGGTTCTTTACATGTTCTCGATAGTGTATTGAGTGATATCATTTACATATAGCGGTCTCGTGTAGCAATCTTGTAAGTAAACATCTTTACTTTACAATTATAAATAAAGTTTTACATGTGGAGCAGGATCTGCTTACCCTTCGGAGCACCTGAGATCACCCCGGTGTTCTAGTGGGGTTTATGTTGCTAAGTCTTTGCTTTTCTGTGTTGTGTGTTGTGAACTGTTTTTTTTTTTTTGTCGTTTTCTATTTTTTTTTTGTCATGGCGTTGTCAATTTGTTTTCGAGTTGTGAGTTTAAATGTCCCTTTGGTATGTTTTCCCCTTTCTTCTAACTGTCTTAAATTTGCTTGATAAACCTTTTCAACTGATTTCTATAGTGTGTTCATATGTTGTGCTGTTACAACACTGTCCAAGGTTTTGGGAGGGTTGGGCGTTCGCAAACATGTGCAACCCTGCCACATTCTGTATGTGCCTGTCCCAAGTCAGGAGCCTGTAACTCTGTGGTTGTTGTTGCTGTATATCATTTTTGTCGAGCCTTCGACTTTAGTCGAAAAAGCGAGACATAGCGATCCTATATTCCGTCGTCGTCGGCGTCGTCGTCGTCGTCGTCGTTGTCGTCGGCGGCGTCCACAAATATTCACTCTGTGGTTAAAGTTTTTGAAATTTTAATAACTTTCTTAAACTATCCTGGATTTCTACCAAACTTGGACAGAAGCTTGTTTATGATCATAAGATAGTATCCAGAAGTAAATTTTGTAAAAATAAAATTCCATTTTTTCCGTATTTTACTTATAAATGGACTTAGTTTTTCTGCCGGGAAATATTACATTCACTCTGTGGTTAAAGTTTTTAAAAATTTAATAACTTTCTTAAACTATCCTGGGTTTGTACCAAACTTGGACAGAAGCTTGTTTATGATCACAAGATAGTATCCAAAAGTAAATTTTGTAAAAAAATAAATCCATTTTTTCCTTATTTTACTTTTAAATGGACTTAGATTTTCTGCCAGGAAACAACACATTCACTCTGTGGTTAAAGTTTTTAAAATTTTAATAACTTTCTTATACTATTTTAGATTTGTACCAAACTTGGACAGAAGCTTGTTTATGAACAAATGCTAGTATCTAGAAGGAAATTTTGTAAAAAAATAAATCCATTTTTTCCGTATTTTTCTTTTAAATGGACTTAGATTTTCTGCCAGGAATCAACACATTCACTCTGTGGTTAAAGTTTTTAGAATTTTAATAACTTTCTTATACTCTTTTGGATTTGTAATGTCTACCAAACTTGGACAGAATCTTGTTTATGATCAAATGCTAGTATCTAGAAGGAAATTTTGTTTTCTTCCAGTTAACATTACATTCAGTCTGCAGTTAAAGTTTTTAAACATTTATTAGATTCATAAATTATCCTGGATTTTTACCAAACTTCGACAGAAGCTTCTTACAATCAAAAGATAGTATCAAGAGGAATATTTTTATTGATTTACTTCCTCATTTTTGTTGAGCCTGTGATTAACAGAAAAAGTAGGCGAGACACTGGGTTCCGCGGAACCCTTACGAATTTTATTTTTTTCATTCATTGTTTTGTACATAAACAAGGCCGTTAGTTTTCTTGTTTTACATTTGTCATTTTGGGGCCTTTTATAGCTAACCATGGGGTATGGGTTTTGCTGATTGTTGAAGCTGTACGGTGACCTATAGTTGTTAACTGCTATGTAATTTGGTCTCTGTTGGCGAGTTGTCTCATTGGCAATCATACCACATCTTCTTATTTCTATATTTTACTTACATATGAAAACTAAGTCAAGTGAAGCGTAGATTAAGTAGAAAATGCTGAGGTGTAGTACATGTATTTTAGAAGTAAAATTAGATGCTTTTAATATTATTTTATGAAGTTTAATTCAATAGGTAGAGTGACATACTTTTAATGAGAGCTGTAACAATCTTTTAAAGGTACCTTTATATCAAGTTATATGATTGTACGTCATTTATTATCGGACCCAAACGATTATTTGATTGAGAAAGCTTTATATAATTCTTACCAAGATTATATTTCAGCATCATTCCTCAATTGAGATCTCTTAACACAAACATTGTGCCAGAACCGTCATGTATTTGAGGAAATGATCTTGAAGTTTCGTATCACTTCTTCTTTGAGTGTCCTCGATGTTCAAATATTCGTCACCACTTATTTAACCATCTTCAATAGTTACCCGCTGGCTATACCGTGAGATCTGGAGCACACAACTTATGGTACCATTTCTATTCAAATTTCTTATATATCCAAAGCAAATCCCTATTCAAAAGTTTAAAATTTAATAATAAAAGCCCGATTGATGACTTGATAAGAAGGTTCAAAACAAAGCAAAGATCAACACAAACACATATGACATCATCTGACAGTGTATTTCATACAATTGCTAGCAATATTAATATACTATTTTCATATACTTGGGTCGTTGGTTCGATCCACCTAATCAAATCAGACTTTGTTTTTGCAGCTTGGGCGCTAAACACGTGGCATTTAGGCGAAAGATCAAATCTGGAGGTAAAAATAATGTCTCGGGTAAGGTGACATGTCCTATTGTCAGCTTGTGGGCTAGTAAACAAAATATACAGATCAGCGTTTCAGCCAGGTGCAAAGCAGCATTCATATTTATAAACATTGCACATCAACATGTTCTTGTCCTGATAAAACATGAGATATTTCACACTGGGCGTTATACGTCTTTCCAATGCAAACATCATAAAAGCAATATATAATGGATGAATTTGTTTGTTTCACATATATTACCCCAAAAATTGGTGTAAAATACTATTAAATAAATTCCTGCTTCTAAAATACGTCTATCTTAAATAATACCTGATAAATGTATCCCTCTTCTCGGATTTTTTTTTATTAAAGACAATATTACCATCGTGGAAATCTGATAAATCGACACAAACATGTATCACATATGTTTTGCTTACTTTTTTATTTCATATTTAGATATAGTGAAACCGCCTCGGTGGTCTTCAGGTAGCGTGTTCACCTTTAGTGCAGGAGGTTATGGTTTCGAACACCAATCGGGTCAAACCAAAGACATTGAAATTGGTAGTTGCTGCTTCACCGCAATGCAACCGGCATTTAGAAGTAAGAGCGAAGACTGGTCGGCTTGGAAGTCAGAATATGTCCGGGTAAGGTGACACTTCTTCCTGCGGACTGTTACCTTGTGCATTAGCACGTTAAAAATCCGGCTCGGCGTGTCGCTCTAGTACAAAGCAGGGTTAATATTCATATTACATTAACATATGTTCGTCCTGGATATGCATTTTAATTTGCCGCTAGACGTTAAGCAGCCATTCATCATCATCAGATACACTGATGATGTTCCAACCTAACGGGGACTTTTTCAGTGGCGGATCCAGAAATTTTCATAAGTAGGGGCCCACTGACTGCCTAAGAGGGGCCCGCTCCAGTCATGCTTCAGTGATTCCCTATATAAACAACCAAATTTTTCCCACAAAAGAGGGGGGACCGGGCCCCCTAAATCCGCCTCTGTTTCTATACTATATATGTATAGACTGTCCCTGAACCTAAGAAACCAACATTTCTGTGAGTGTTTGCATCTTAAATTTACTAGTGAACTTAGCTTTAAGAATTAGGACTCCTGACACCGGATGGTCAACTTTGTTTCTGGGTTTTAATCTTACAATTGGCAAAAACAATATTTCAAACAACAAACGGGAATCGGTGGCCGAGTGGTCTAAGTGGTTCATCAACTGTATCACTAGCCTGTAAACACTGAGGTTTGTGAGTTTAAACCTTGCAGGTGCGTTCGATTCCAATTTTGGTTGACCAGGGTTGCAAGTTTTCCTACTGAAGGTCGGTAGTTCTCTCAGGTTTCCTCTACCAATAAAAACTGACCGGCACCATTATAGCCAGTAGTGCTGAGAGTGGCGTTAAACACAGACAATCAATCAATTAAAATTGGCACATGCATCTTCAAACTAGAATCTATTACAAACGTGAAATTTATCAGTTTTCTCATTGTAGTTTTGATTTTTCAAGAGTAATATACCATCTGCCTCATTCTATGGCACCTACATATATGACTTACAAAAATTGAATACATTATATATATGTGCATATACAGGCCTCATTGACAGTGATGGGCTAATATTGCAAAAACTGCTCCCCCAAGCCATTGTTCAGAAGAAGTACGATTGAATAATACATAAAAAGGATAATAGGAACTATAGAGAGCAGAAACAATTTGTGTACTTACCATGCTTATACACAGGGTGGTTAATTTAACTGTACAGTTTTTTTCCTTGTATGGGACACTTTCTAGAAGTGGTGAATAACTGTGCCAGGTTTCATTCCAAAATCCAAGGTGATTGAAAGTTAGAGAGCAGAAACAATTTTTTGTGACTATGTAGGGTTGAGACTTATTTGAAGTTTTTTTTTACTTTACTGCTGTGTCTTCTAACTTGTACCAAACACACCTTTTATATATTAGTGGTGAATAAGCATGCCATGTTTCAATACCTAAATCAAATGGATTTGAAAATTAAGAGAGCGGAAATGATTTGTGACAGGGAAGGTTTTCACACTGATTACTATAGGCCCTTTTCTGTTTTATTTGCTTGGCCCTAATTATCAAAATATTTTTTACAAATTGACCAAATTTTTAAAGCTTTTTTCATCATAGAACAAATACCTCCATATAATCAGCCATTAACACAACATTTTACATTTATAAGGAAGAAAAATTTATAAAAATAAGATATAAACAAGAGGCTCATGAGAGCCTGATATCGCTCACCTGTAATTTCAGTTTCAGGCATTTGACTTATTTGCAGATCATACTTTACTGAACAATTTTGTCATTTACACTTTCTCTCTTTCTATAATAATATTAAAGATAATACATAACCCAAAACTGTAAAATTGCCTAAAGTTTAACTATTTCTGGACAGTAACCCAACAATAAGTTGTCCTATTGGTCTGAAGATTACTTGACATGTAGATCTAAACCCGTTTAACACTTTCACCTATGTCAGTTTTGCTCTTACTGCTTTAGTTTTTGAGATGAAAGCCAAAAATTTCATTTGACCCCTATATTCTACTTTTAGAAACTGCAGCCATGTTTTTGAAAGGATCAAATCCCTGAATACAATCTATAAACTAGATACCATAAGGAACATTCAATTAAAGTTTTTAAGTATTTGGCCCAGTAGTTTCAGAGGAGAAGATTCTTGAAATAGTTTACGATGATGGACAACGAAGACGGAAGCCAAGTGATGGCATAAGCTCACATGGGGCACTTTGGGCCCCGGTGAGCTAAAAAGCAAGCTGCTAAAATGCTACCATATTAATTCCTGATTGATATATAGAACAAAAAAACATGATCTTACATAAAAAAATATTTGTGGTGAATAAGCATGCAAATGCAAATTCAACATGCAAATTCAAATGATCTTTAATAAAATAAATACATTACAATATTTCTATATTATTTGATCAATGCTGATGTGGTGTTTTCATTTCAACAAAGTTATTATACTACTGTTTATTTATTCAGAATGCACATTGGCATTATTACATACCTTTTGTGTAATAAAATAGGAACAAGAGGATAGCCAAGGAAGCCATCAGAGAAGGCCTGCAGCATGTAATAAGTAAATTGTGATGCAATTCGGCCTATTCAATTTAAATGTATTTATATGCACTGTACAGTTTCTTAATTGTATGGGACAAACCTTCTAATAGTGATGAATCAGCATGCTAGGTTTCATTCCCAAAATCCAAGGAGATGGAAATTTAGAGAGCAGAAACGATTTTTGTACATATGTACAGGGTTCCGACTAATTTGAAGTTTTTTTTTGCATGACCTTCACTGTTGTGTCTTCTTATTTGTACCAAACACACTTAGTTAATCATAAAAAGTTTCATTACCTAATTCCAATTGGTTTGATTAATATAGGCCTTTCTTAGATTAATCTGCCTTAATAATTAAAATACTCTTTTGTTACAAGATTTTATTAATTTAATTTTTAAAGCTGTTTTCATCATAGAACAAAATACCTAAATATTATCAGCCATTAACACAACATTTTACATTTATAAGTAAGAAAAAGTTATAAAAAAATAAGATATAAAAAGCAAGCTGCTAAAATGCTACCATGGTAATTCCTGATTTATATATAGAACAAAAAAACATGATCTTACATAAAAAAATATTTGCCAATTCAAATGATCTTTAACAAAATAAATCATTACAACATTTCTATATTATATGATCAATGCTGATGTGGTGTCTTCATTTCAACAAAATGTGTATACTATTGTTTATTTAGAATTGTCTGAGATCTACTTCACTACCATCTACAATCTAAGGACATCATATTGTGACTATGAACCCTGTCTTTCACAACCATTGTGTCAGCACCATTGATTCTTGGAGATAATCTCTCATTCATCTAGTTTTCTCTTTGGTTTCTTAGGATTTCTGGATCTACTCTTAGCTTTACATAGAGGACAGATTGGAGCATTACGGTGGATTTGTTGATGACATGATAAGCAAGCCTGAAGAAAAAACAAAATATAACATAAGACTTTAATAGTGTGATTTTATCATAATTAATACAATTTTACTACTACTAAATAGAGTTAAATATAGATTGTACCACTGCATCGAGTGTGATGCAATATTTTTCCATTCAAGACATTTAAATTTTCATATTTCAAATGCGAGGCTTGCTGAGCGATTTAAATATTTAAAATTTAACTTTTGAGAGTGCAGAAATATCGTATTGTACAAGATTTTGTGGTAGAATCTGTTTCTCTAATGATTTTTAGAAAAACTTAATCCTTCTTTCCCAATGATAAAAAAAAAAAATGTGTTCTTTCTATGTACAAATGTAACTTCATCAAAGATGGTCACCTATTATCTTCAGGAAAAAGATAAATACAGTGTAGGCTACGAATTAGAGAAGTAGTACTATAATAACAATTTAAATCAAGGCTTCATGTTTAAATGCAAATTATTTTGTGTTCAAATAATGTTTGATATAACTAGATATCATTGAGATGGAAGCCATCTCTGTGGGCCCCGCTGTGAATAATGTGTGGTAAAACATTTGTATCTTTATCATTGGACATGGGGTTGTCAACTGAAACCAAAGTTTTTGACCTTGACCTTTGACCTAGGAAGTTGTACATACATTATGACACACCCTCTGGTGTTGGTTCATATACATGTCAAGTATAAACTTTGAAATCATAACGGTTCTCTAGATATAGAGCGGACACAATTTGTTGTATCTTTATCATTGAACATGGGGTTGTCAACTGAAACCAAAGTTTTTGACCTTGACCTTTGACCTAGGAAGTTGTACATAAATTATGACACACCCTCTGGTGTTGGTTTATATACATGTCAAGTATAAACTTTGAAATCATAACGGTTCTCAAGATATAGAGCGGACACGATCTTTACCATAGGACATGGCGTTGTCAACTAAAACCAAAGTTTTTGACCTTAACATTTGACCTAGAAAGTTGTACATCGTTATGACAAACCCTCTGGTGTTGGTTAATATACACTTTGAAATCATAACGGTTCTCTAGATATAGAGCAGACACAATTTGTTACGGACGGACGGACAGATTGATTACTATAGGGCGTTCGCCATTCAGTGGGGCCCTAATAAATCATTGGTTACAGTGTATTTTGTATAAAAATTTCCTCACTTGATGTCTTCTTATATTTTTTAATTCAGTATTTTTCAACATGTAATATTATTAAATGTGCCAATTTTACTGCACTAGATGCACATTTAACAAACATGTTTAAATAATTTATGTCTCTTCAGTGATGCCCAGGCCAGATATTTAAAAATCAAAATTGGTGACAAACCTCATACAAACTTTGAAGAGTAAATATAACTGAAAAGGACCTTAACTATACCCATAACGGGATACGAAATCAGACGTATGCAAGATGAGGATAAATATAATAATTTTCATTATTAAATTAGCAATTTTTGTAGGTTATATGAAAGATAATGAGAATTACAAAGTATTCCAACAAACTGTGCTCCAGGAGAAAATCCTAATGAACCTACTGAATAAGGAATGACTTTTACTACATATCCATGTGGCATGTTGACAAGGTGAGCACATTTAAAGCAGGAAGTTTACAACAAAATTAACATGATAACAAACCTTCATAGGTGGAGGTTGTTGTCTAAAAGGCTGTCTCTCTGTAGGTTTATTTCGTGGTACAGGTATTGGTTGAGTATTGGGTGCTGGAATGTTTAAAGTTTGTGGAATGTTGGGTTCAGGAGGGGCTTCTGTGTTCCATTCTGTACTCTGCTTCTCAAAAAACCTGTCAACACAAAAACATATATCATTAATCTGAATTCATTATTTTCTATTTTCATCACTATCAAAATAAATAACTGCATATGCTTTCATGTCCATGCATACAGCTAGTGTTGGGTACTACAGGGCAATTTTTCAAATAAATGAGATCATGATAAATGTCTAATATCTTTTGAATCAGATTTAAATTGGAGTTTTATAAAGAATTTTACTACTATTTTAAATTTGTACAATATTTAGTCCGATCACTACACATAAATGCTGCATACTGAAGGTATTGGTTCTCTAACCACAGAAAATTAGGTAAGGAAGCAAACAATTGGACATTTTTTCATGGTCATCAAAGTATATTTTTCTGATGTATTTTACATAAATATTAGAGAAAAAAAGTGGGCATCGATTAAAACAATCTTTAAAAAGAACACCAAGTCTGCAGGTCATGAATGTTCATTACCAAAAGTGTATCCAATTAAACAATTGCTCTTAAATGGTATTTTGAAAGTCATACAAAATAATACAGTTGATTGAGATGTTTCCCTTATAAAATTTTAAGACCAAAATTTGAAGTGAGAATATATATAAAAATGTGGTATGATTGCCAATGAGACAACTCTCCACCAGAGACCAAATGACATAGAAGTTAACAGCTATAGGTCACTGTACGGTCTTCAACAATGAGCAAAACCCATGCCACATAGTCATATGGTTGACAGACAAGGGTTATTGAAATGTGGCCAGTTAAGATAGTGACTACGATCTATGTGCCTGTAGCCGAGTGAATGACAAATTTAGATGTAGTTTAAAAAAGATTTGGAGTAAAAATATAATTCTCCATATATATGTAAGGAGCTTTTTAGGTTATCGGTTTTCCTTTCATGTCAAAGTCTGTTTGGTGGTAAAATCCAGAATAACTTCATGGCTGCACATTTATATTTATTTTTCAATGTTAAATAATATAAATCCTCAAACTTCATACTGTTAACCTAGAAGTTTTTGCTCTGGGCTATCTTTACTCATTAAGGTTATTACGTAAAAGGCACAAAAATATCTTTTTATCAAAATGTATTTGAAGAGAGCAGCAATACTGATATGAAGTGGAAACTAACCTCCAACTCTAGCAAGAAAATTTAATGCATTGAAATTGTGAAAATAACAACCTGCAATATCTACAATTACAGTGTTCAGTTAATAATTGCAGATTTCAATTATGTTCAATAAAAAAGTCATTATAAAATCTTTGAAATGAAGAAATGTTTTCTATCACATCCCCTCCTCTATCTTCATGTCATTTATAAATTTCTTGCCTGTACCAAACACATCTCAAGTTAAGTATTATTATTCATTAGTTACGAAAAAGACTAACTCTGGAGTAAGTTTCTCTTCATCTTCATTTAGACTGGGTAATTTCTCCATTCCCATCAAATTTCTCATGTGGTCTATATCATCCTTTAAGGGTTTAAATTCTTCATACATTTTCTTAGCATTCTCTAGACATCTATTCCTGTCTTCTTCAGCTTGTTTGATTGTGGTCTCCATCTAAAATTAGACCCTCATTATAAGATATTCATGAATAGTAATAGCAGTTCAAAAAGTGTTGTTATGTTGTTTACCATTTTAATGAAATTGATCAAAATCATGAACAAAACATCACTGGAAATAACCTGTGGCATATTCTGCTTTACATAGGAAAAGGGTAAATATCTAAATTTTGCTCATCAATTCAAATTGTATACAAGTTTTTCTTATCATCTGACTATATCATGTATATTTCTTTTCTATTAAAATGGGAATCACTGAAAATGAAAGATGTTATTCCTTGCATTTTCTACATTATTTAACATGTACAAATGTATACATGAAGGCACATAGGAAATTTGGTGAGTTATTTTGCAGATTGGTTGCTTAAAAAGTTGGTCAATTATCAATCTTTAAATTCTAGGATTAGTTATCATATATTTTTTTTACAATAACACTGATATGCTTTGAAAGGTGGATTTTATTTATTCACTTTACATGCTTTAGGTCGCAGTTCTTCAAACAACTTTCCATCGCAAATACTGAAGAATGCTGAATCATTTCTAAAATAATTCTTGTATTCTATTTTCTTTTAATCTAAAATATTGACCAGATTAATATCAGCATGGATGAGTCTGAGTTCCTCAACATGGGCCATTTTCTCCTGTAACAACAGATCCATCTCCTGTTTATATTCCTCCAATCTTTTCTCCTCCGTTTCTGAACCATCAATCTCATGTCTTAACTTCCCACGGATCTTCTCTAACTGAACTGTCCTACTTCTAAAAACATAGTATTCAAAACAACTGTTAGATGAGAACATTTTCAAACAGCTCTAATCGGACGACAACTGATAATTTAACAGATCAATAAATCAAGATGAATTCTGTAATATAAATTCAGGAAAAATACAAGTTCAATTTTTTACCTTTTTGGTACATTTTGTACATGTTGTACATGTATTTAGAACTGAGATTTCTAAATTCTTTACAACTGTTAACTTCATAAATGGAGTCTAACCCTACAGTAGTATCAAATTTAAAACAGAGTTCATGAAAAGTGGTGGTCTGTGGGATTTGACCACCAAAATTTTGCAAACAACATGCAGAACAGACACAATTTTGGAATTTTGCAATAGAAATAATAGTGAGGATCAGCAGTTTTTCTTCAAGGACCACCAGAGAATAAAAGGTTTTGCAAAGTCTGGTAATAGCCATTTGAACATATAAATTCATTAACACTAATACACAGGATACATGTACATGACCAAATTGGGCAAATATGGAAGTTACTAAAAGCCTTTTAAAAACTAACAGTATCATGTCAGTTTGATTTTCATCTATTACTTGAGACATTTCAGTCAGGGGTAATCCTTGTACAAGTTATTTTTATTTACTTGAAGAAGTATATAACAATATACTTATATAAGTAAATTTGTTATATTCATATTTTCTTGTAAGGTTTGAATAATCTCCCCTTAATTTTCTCAAAAAATTTACTTGTATAAGTAATTTTTTTTTTACAATCCCTAAAATTCTCAAGTTTTGGGATGTAAAAACATGCCTTAAACAATTTTTCTCTGGTTTGTTCATAATTTTTTATTAGAGTTCAACGTTTCATCTCATTAATTCAACAGAGAAACTAATTGCGCAAAGATCAATGAAGATCTTAAGTAATTGCGCAAGGCCTTCAAAAATTGCCCCTTAGAGGCTTGTAAATGGGCAGTGTTTTGAAGATAACAGACAAATGAGATTTTCATTGTCCATGAAGTTACACTTAAATGATAAGTGAAGACATCTGCAAAGGACAGACAATTAAAAATTCTATTAGAGCAAAGAAGTCCTGAGAAATTCAAGAAAAGATGAAAGTATGACTTTTTGACTTGTATAAGTAAAAAAATCTGAATGTCTAAGGGACATAACTAAGCCATTAAAATAATTTACCTATACAAGTACCGGTAAATAAAATACACATGTATAAGTATCTTACAAATTTATTTATATAAGTATATTAATATTTACTTCTTCAAGTAAATTAAAATAACTTGTACAAGTAGTACCCCTGACTGCATTTTGCAAGATCTTGGAAACTGATAGTGTAGGATTTTCAAGATACGTGTACATAATAATAATGCTCATTTCTAACTGGGGTTATGAAATTTGTGTCAGTCCTTTGCAAAATTATGATGACCAAATCCTTTGGACCACAACTTTTCATGCTCTGAATGACAATTTGTTGTTCATCTATCATGTTTGTGAGACATTTTGCAAGATCTTAATAAATTGATTGTGCGGTATTTTTAAGACAATACACTTTTTGAACTGGGGTTATAAAAATGATAAAGAATTGTGTCGGTCCTTTGCAAAATTTTTATGATCAAATCCTTGGGACCACCACTTTTCATTGGCAATCATACAACAACTTTTAGACCTTTTTTTTTCATATGAATAATGCATGTAGGTATGGGAAAGTATGGAGGAGAATTTCTTGAGGGCTTATCCTTGAAACAGTCAGTAGTGGTACTGCAGGTAATTTATTCCAATCTTTAATAGTTTGCCAGAAGAAAGAGAACTACAATGTAGCAGTTTACTTTGCTGCATCAGATTTGTCTGAATGTTCATGTCATGAGTATCAAGCTTTGGCAAAGATGTTTGGTTTTAATCAGCTTTTTAAAAATCTTATTTCTTGTAGTGAATGCCAGCATAGTGTATTATGCGTGTTTTCAGTTGTACAATGGTGACCCAGACTTTACAACAGTATTTAAGTTTTAATCTACATGTAGTAAGTATTTGATATGCTCAGTTTTTGATTGTCACTGAGTTTGATAGATACGTTTTGATATAACATAATTTGAGTTTTTTTAGTAACTTCCCTTCCTCACCATATTTGTGATGTAAATGGTTGATTTTCTTATCTGACTAACCAAATTGAAACATGCGTTTCAAACAAGTTTAATAAGAGATCCTATACTAGATCAAGATATAAGCCAATGTGCTGACTACTGTAGGAATTCTTCCTTTGACCTAGTTGATAATATGAGGCAGGCATTACCTGTGAAAGGGGACGAAGTCTATATAAATTTTTTTTTTTTAATTCAAACATATTTTAAGTTCTAAATCTGTTAAAAAAGAAACGGAAATACCGTAACGTTTCCGATTTTGGTTCTGTTGTTAGGGATTTTAGTTGTGACGTTATTTTACTTATGACGTCATATTCAATGTAAACAAAGAAACGCTATCATCAGGTAACGTTTTTTCATATCAAAGAATAAGAAATGAAATTGTTATTGTGTTCCTTCCTATATTTTACTGGACTGATAAATATATATTTCACTCAGTCTCATGACAAACGAGACCGGAAGAAGGAAGTAGATTTCTGGGCAAATGCGGGAATTAAAAAAAGTTACAAAAAAAAAGTTAACGATTTTGAGTTCATTAGTACAATGAAAATTTCGGGAAATTTTCCCGATTTTTTTTTTTTTTTTTTTTTTTTTTTTTGATTTTTCTACTGTTATAGGGGACTTCGTCCCCTTATAAAACCGCCCTCCATTAGCTGCTCTTTGGAGTATTCCTTAAGTTCAGTTGGTAGAGCTATGATTTATTGTGCCAGAGATATATTGGCCTCCCAACCCTGCTGGTACAGTGTCAGTGGTTATTTTGGAGAACAAAATTATCATCATCATGCTCTCCAGTTTAGTGTGCAAGGTCTGAAGGATCCGATTTACAAACTACCTCCTGTGACATTAAAACGTGACACGCAATACAAAGAGTCTGGTAAAAGGTTTACTGTATAAGAATGTACCTAAGTTCTTTCACATTTTCCAATTTATTCAAAAGTTCGATTTCTTTCTCTTCCATTGTTTATAGCTTTCTGAGTTACTGAAAAGCTTTACATCTGATGTGTAACTTTATGTATTACAAACGTACTAGTGATGTATTTTAAAATTAGACAAATAACGGAGTAGATACGTTTTAAATTCCGGATTCATTGAAATATTACTGGAAAATCTCCAAACTCTTTAATTCAAATAATCTTCTACATAGTATATACTGGAGTAAAGTTTTCTGCTAGGGATGTCAATCTTTCACTTTGCTGAAATCATCTTCTCCCAATTCCTCTTCAGTACGATGGACAAAAAACAAAAGAATAGAGAAAAATGAGCCAAAGAAATGAATAGAGAATACAAAAATAAAAATATCTTAATTATCATGTTACAATTAGCTTCTTGTGTTATTCTTATTTGTTTATTATATAGTCTGCTCATCTTATTTGCTTAATGTTGTAATTAAGCAAGCTTTGAAATTTGTATTTTATCTAATTTTTAGTTGTTATTTACTTTTACTTAAAATTTTTAGTTGTGCTTGCATGTTATTATTTTATATCAATCTGGTGTGGATCCAGAATTTTGAAGAAGGGGGGCCCTGATAAGCCAAAGTTGGAAGTAATATTTATGAAGAGTCAGTGCATTTATCATGTATGAAGCTCCATAAGGGGTGTCCCTGGGACCCCTGCCCCCTAAATCCACCTGTCGCCGTGTGCTGATATGCTGTATTTATGCATTTAAATATGTGCTGCTTAAATCCTTTTTCTGCTTGCACTCTTTTTTTATGTTATTTATATGTTAATTTTATTTTGTAAAAAGCTCCATAGAGCTTACATAATCCTTATGTTTATATTGCTATGTGTAACCGAATCAAAATAAAACTAACATGAAAATAAGGCCAAATTTAGGTGTACCTAGTAAAATAGTCCTGCACTCATTACAGTCATACTATAGGCCATTTGTAGATTATTAATTTACAGAAACAATGAAACTGAGCTAAATATGAAACTTTAAGGGAAATTCACCCTCTCTTTTTTTAAGGGGGGTCTCAGGACAAAGAATTTTTTATAACTGCATTTAATTATAAGCCAACTATCTTTTTCAATAGTATACAGGAGCATGATATGTTCTTTTTTTAAGTCAATGTTTTGTTTTTATTTGTGTATAATTCTATAGAAACAAACATTTTGTTTACCTCCCCTTTAAATCAAAATTTTTTTAAAGAAATTTAGAATAAATAATTCATTTTAAAATGTGTATCCCCCAACAAAACATTTATCATTGAACCATTAAATGAGATTGTGCACCTGACAATCATTCTGTACAAAAAATGTGGCTGAACTATAATTATTTAAAAACTACCATATCAGGATTATTATAATGTTTTCAGAAGATTTTTAAGTTTTAATAACAGTGGCAAGCCTATTTAAATTGAGATTTAAATAATGATCGTTCACCATACTTCTTTAACAGATTGGTCTGTGTGCTTGGTTTTCAGACTTAAACATCTAAAAAACAAAAACTTTTGCGAGGAAAATATTTCTCATTTCATTGTTGGATAACTATCAAACTTCAGTTTTTTTAAATTATTTTTTTTATAGTTTTACAACATAATGGTAGAGAAAGACAAATGGAAGATTGTGTGCTCATGTAAAACTGGATTAACCACATGTTGTGCCTATACCAGTGACCAAGACTGGCTATCTCGACCATGTGTTGTTCTTTGTTGTTTGTCTTTGGTTGTATGTCTGTTTTTATTTAGAGGAGTTGGGTGTTGGTATTGAGGTAGTCTTTAGTACTGTGCAGTATCTTTGGATTTTCCTGTTATCTTTTTTTATATATATATAAAAGTATATATTTGGTATAGACAGATGTAATCTCATCTCACCCAACTTCCTCGTGATCAGCATACACACTCTGTAAACTGCCTTTTTCCTCATCTTTTGAATGTTTTTGAATCTGCTCAATGTTAAATGGGAGCCAGAAAAATCAAACACTGACAAGATTAGTTATGATTTCCTCAATCTCTACACCTCACAAACCAAATGGACCAAGGTTTGAAATCTTATTCTGGGGTGTCATAGATTTCCAGGTCTTGCACTGTTTCTGGTGTTAGATTCTTAGATTCTCTATGCCTCTAGATTTTCATAAGACATGTATGAGGAACATTTAACTTAATTCTTTTACTCTTGGAGAAGATTTTCGGACAGAAAATTTGAATCCTTTATCAGAAAATGATGAAATCCATATTTTGCCTGTGGAAACTTTAAAATCAAAATTGATGCTAAAAATATAAACTTCCATCATATCATTCAGGGGCCAGAAAAGCAACATTTGTGTCTCACCTTTCTAAAAATTCATCACAGGAATTATACTCCTTACATAAAATTTGTTAAGTTAACCTATATATAACTAGGTTAGAGTTAACTAAGATATTGTGGTACTTAGAATATGTAAACACCATAGTTACCTAGCAGGAAAATTAATGTCTAAATCTTAGCTGCAGTAACTTTCATTGCAGGTGAAATGAAAACTTGAACCAAAGATTAAAGCATGAAAATGTGGTCAAAGTAATGCAAACATTTACATTCTGCTTTGCTAGATACCAGCTGAAGTGTGAACTGAATATTATTAGTAACATAGTGTGCTAGTGACCTAATACGGTATATATGGGGTCAGTAAATATCATATGGGGTGAGAGCGAAGCTCGAATCCCCATATGGAATTTACTGACCCCATATATACCGTATTACGTCACTAGCACACTATGTAACGAATTTTTCTTACCGACTATCTTAACTTGTGATATTTAGACTAGTAACCTATCAAAATGAGCAAGTCTTCAATACCGTTAGCATTACGAAACTACTTCCATTGATCATACAAAAACAGATGCCAACAATAACAAATTGTTAGCTTTAAATGTGTTTTATGAATTTATTTCAATCTTAATCATCAATTTCTTCGTTTGTTGAAACCTTTAAGATGTTTTCTCAGTACCGTTTTGTTTTTATAAAGGGTAATATCACCACTACTAACCGTGTATTGAAATAACCCCGCCTCCCTACTAACCTAATATGGAATATATACGGTCTCCACGCGGACGCTTTTAACCAATCATATTCCTAGAAATGTATAGGTAAGATAAACATCAATATTGTAACTTTTTAAATGTGTAAAAGCTGTATGAAATATATAAAGGGGCTCCCACAGGGTACCCCCCTCAGGTCGCAAGGTCGCGAGGTCGTTTTTAAGGGAAATGTACAGGTCGCAGGTCGTTTTTTCCAACATAAAGGTCGGAAGTCGTTTTTATATTTAAAGGATCCATTTAAGTCATTGTTGTGTTGATTCTTGTGTTATTAAACCTGGGACATATAGGTTCCTGATTAAACCTTTTAGTTTTAAATTAGATATTTGGACATTTTCAACATGCTGTGCCCTTGGGTTCGGTTGGTCTTGTTTTGTTTGAGGCCATCCAGAGATGGCTGTCTGTAAGTGGGAAGTTCCTGCTCTATTAAAGTTTGTGTCGTCAGCTCTAGATTTATTTTGTGTGGCATTTAATGATCAATATGTGATGTCTTCGTGCCATTAACCCATATCCGTTCTTTTCCATATTGAGACCAAAACAGGACTTGAACTTTTCGATTTTTCAGAACAGTAGTTTCAACCAAACATTCAGTATTTCACTAATCCAACACAATATTCATATTGAGCAAGTCCCCAGAACTTATAAAATCACCGGGGATGTAGAGCTGGATTTACCTACTGAGATACTTTGAACACGATCTATAGACTGATGGCAACAAGGAAATGTCTTGAAGACAGGGGTGTCCCGCTCGGCGCTTATTTCCATTTTCGATGGAACTCCCCCATTTTAACAGTTGTTAGTCCATATCATGATAAATAAAGAGTATGGTACAAAAGTTCATGAAGATTCGACTTGAAACTTTTTAGGAAATCATCTTAAACGCAAAGGTAAACCAAAGTGTAACTGACGAACGAACGGATGGACGAACAGACCGAAAAACTATATTTACCGCAACAATGTTGTCGGGACATAAAACATGAAACTGATTATCAACCTTACTTGGATACATTTGTCTCTTTGGAGCACACACAGAGACACTAGTAGCTAGCGCCCTATGCGCTAGTGATGACCATCACCCATAGTGTTCATAGTGTATTTGAAGCAATAACCCAGACCAATTTAATCTTTTTTAAGAAACAAAAATAGTCCAAAAATTATCATAACTTGACAATTTAGAAACAAAGAAACGAAGACTTCTAACCAAATATAGATACAAAAAGGGTCACAAATAGTTCAAAATTGATTATATGAAAACTGCATGTTGATTTAAGATGAAAACTTAACTTGTACTTTATAGTGCTAAACAATTGGGAACAAATGAAATAAATCTTTGATCCGTTCTCAAGTTTTCATCTGGATACCACCATGGGACGGTCAGACAGATGGAAGTACGGACGGATACCCAACCATGTAATTCTTCTCTACTGCGTGTAGTGGAGTATAATAAAGTAGACAAAAGTGTGACAGATGGCCGGAAAAACAGTATGGCTGACCATGGTTGGTGGGACCAACAGTCAGCAGTTTATGTTTAATAACAGACATGTGATTTGGGCATTTTATTTTATCAGATCTACCATTAACCGAAATGGCAACAAAGGACCACAAAGGAAAACATGGCGCCCAAAATGGCAAGGTCGTTTTTAGCGTGGATGAAATCGGAGGTCGTTTTTTTCAAATTTTACAGGTCGCAGGTCGTTTTTAGAAAGCCCTTAGGTCGGAAGTCGCCTCTAAAAAGCCCAGAGGTCGCAGGTCGTTTTTGACCCTGCGGGAGCCTCATTTAAAGAATATTTATGTTGCAGAGATAAATCAAATTAGATCTGGCTTATAAGAAAAATCCACTTGAATAATATACTGCATCTGCATTAAGCTAATACTGAGGGCCACATGTGAAATAAAATACAACAAATGTGAACATCTTTATTTTTCATTATCACAGATAAAATGGAAAGAATTAAATATGTATTACGTTTCAAAATAATAAATTCTAT